CCAAGTGCTCACTTAGCATTGACTTTTCCACTAGGACCTGCTCCGTCATCTACATCCGCTCACTAAGAGTTTCCTCCCCGGTGTCCTTCACTCCCTTTCTCTAGGTTGTCAAGAACGACCATCTGCTACTTTGGTCAAGGAAGAAATACTTCCTCTTCTAGGCCGATACCTTGGAGGGGAAGCCGTTCAATAGCTTACACCTAGGGCAGTAAGACAAGTAATAATTGTACATCACGGGAGTATTGGAGGGGTTTTTCTTTATATGGCATATGCCAACGAAGGTCTTAATATCTAGGGGGAAGCCGACGTGGTGACAGAAGGATATGGTGTTGACCAAGGTCCTAATGGAGTTGGGATGAAGCTGACCTAATGTTATAGTAGTTTAGCACCTCGGGAATAAGTGGATGAAGGGGGAATTGAAGACCCACTTTTAGGGCCTCCTCGAAGATAGCGACCTTGTCTTCCTTGTGCTCTCACGGCTACTGCCCAAGGGGAGGGGAATATCTGAACTGATTCAGAATCCTATATTGAGATGTGAGCTCATAGACATTCTTTGTAGAGAACTCAGTGGGACCGAACTAGTCTGGTGCCTTAGCACTACAGGAAGACAGGGCCCTCTTATGAGAACCTCGTCAATCTTGAGCCAAGGTCCCTTCCTCGGCCTGGAAGGACGGACCCCTCTCTTTCTCGGACTCACTATCAGAAATTATGAATAAAGTAGAACTAAAGGAGATGACTCACCTAGGACGAGTAAACTGATAACTCTAACAATGCCATGCTCTACAATCTCACACGAACTCCAAAGATAGGGACAAGAAAAATGGGCCCTTGAGGGTCCTATTTATAGACAGATGAACCGAACAATGGACGGTTGAGATCGGTTGGATCTAACTGTTCGCAAGGGTGTGACGGTTCATACTTTGAGGCAAAATCAATTTAGCGTGTTTTTGACTTTTGCACATCCCTTGTATGCTACCTTGTGCATAGGTCGGACCGACCAAACCAACCCATTCCTAAACCACTAGTCGGACCATAAATGAGGATGGGAATCGGACCAAATAACTTTGGGTTAAGACTACCCTCTCGCCGGACTGATCACACCGAACTTGGGAGTGGGGGCAATTAATGAGGGGTAATTTGGTTCTCCAATGATATCATGACACATGGCATTGAAGAACAGAAGAGTGACACCTCGACACCACGTAAGCAGACCCCATGAGCACTTTGGGCACTTCACAATTGCATCGGCAACCTCAGCACCACCCCGATAGGCTAAACTACAAATAGATAAGCAAGACCTCAGGTCGGCGTAAGTGGCGACCTACTTCCACTGATTTGACTTGTTTCTAGTTAGCGACCTGCCTAATGTGCCAAGCGACTTCCCTCTTAAGTGGGCTTTCACCTCTAGATTCCCCGGGATCACGATGCCATGTAGGAAGAGTTGGTTATCACCCCACCCGCATAGACATTACCTACTTACACGGAGTCCACTTCCAAGTGTAAAACCATCTCTGAACCAAACGGGCCAGAAATCCCAGACACGTTTCGTAAGGCTTACGGAAAATTTCCTATATAAGGGCATCATCTCTAACCTCATAAAGTACGCGCAATTTAGTACTCAAACTCTCTGGCTTTTGCTTACTTTCTAGCTCTCAAAAAACTCTAATACACTAATTTAAGCATCGGAATGCCTATACCCAGTAAATTAACCCGGATACTCCGATCTTTCTTTTTCTTTACAGCCCAACCAAAGGACCTACATAACCCGGCGTTCGAACTGTACTCCATTATTACTTCTCAGTGAATCATTATTGCGACCGAAGTTGAACACCACCCAAGCAAATAACACCTTTTTTTTTATTTTGATTGATTTATTTATTTTTGGTAAACGAGGCAAACAAGATCAATACGTGTGATTTGGAAGCTATAGTAACTGACTAACTGACTAACTGTTGGACGTAGCAGCAAATCAGACGAATGTGATCCAAAGTTCATCATCATGTATGGATGTCAAATGGGTCGGGTTTGGTATAACATCACAAAAGTATCTAAACCAATAACTTGACAACACCCAAAGCAATATGGAAAAGAAGGGAAAAAACGAGTTGGTAATGCCAACAGGATACAGCCGAGCTGCCATTAATTGTCATTTGCCAACCTGACATAGTGGCATCCAATTAAATTGATCCATTTAACACCCCGACATTTATTGGGATTCAATTACAAGACTTTGACTGTTTTAGGTTGGCCAAAAAATTAATTTAATCAGAATAGGTAAAAGTAAAACATTTAAAGGTGTATCCGTTTTTATAAATAACAACCAAGTGGATATTCAGTATTTTTTAAATATTAATAAATATGTACTTGCATTTCTACGTGACAGTATCGCTAAGACAATTATTTATAATTCATGATTACTTTTTATAATTCATATGGGTTCCAACATCTTAACAATTTATGAATAGTTATAAGTGGGTAGTTTATGAAATGAGAGTAAAGGACATATATATCCTCTTTATACCTATTATATGCTAAAATAAAAGAGATAGAAAGTGTATAACGAAAATTTCAAAAAAAGGGTAAAATACAAAAACTTCTCCTGAAGTTTCTTACAATCATAAAAACTTACCCTCTAATTTCATTTAACAAATACCTCCCTTAAACTTTTGAGAAACTTGACAAAAACCTCCCTTCAGTCACCTTTTCAGACGGAAAACGTTAGACTGATGTAGCAGTTTCTTCCAAATACCCATTCTACCTTTTTATAAATTATTTTACATAACCATATTTTAATTCAACAAAAACATTAGAAGATTGTTAAAAGGAGATTTTTGTGAAGTAAAAAATGGAGTTATTTCAGTAATTTTATATGTAAAATAATTTATAAAAGGATAAAATAGGTATTTAGAAGAAATTGGTGCATCAATCTAACGTTTTTCATTTAAGAAAGTGATGAAAGTGAGGCTTTTGCCAAATTTCTTAAATATTCAAAGAAGGTATTTATTAAAATTAAACTAAAGGTGAGGTTTTTATAATTATTAGGAACTTTAGTGAAGGTTTTTATGGTGCACTTAACAAATATAATAAATACATGCATATACGCAAAGGAATGTTTAGCGGAAGAAAAGCGGAACTTTATGATATGAGAACGAATAGTGGGAGCAGTTGGATAAAAAAGGTAACCGTTCTATTGCCTGTCTTCATATTCTTTAATATTCTAGTCAAATCAGTTACGAACAAGAGAGCAGGATGAACCTCCTGGCTTAAGCCTAGGGTGTACCTTTACAATTCAATGTTGACGGTGCTGTAGAGGAACCCTCAAGTGGAGGAGGGTCAGGGTGTATTGCAAAGAAACCATATTGGTGAAGTCTGTTTTGCTTTCCACAGTTCTTACAGTTTAGGTATTTCCTTAAGAGCAGAAATATTTGCTATTTTCGATGACATTCATCTGTATATTGATCATGAAATTCATGATGTTGAGATAGAAAGTGGATAACAAAATTCTTCACCAGGGCATCTTTCTTGTATCCTTTCATGAAGGTAATTGTTGTGTGGATTTCCTTTGCAAATTGTGGTATTCATGGAAGTTCAGTTTCATTTATTCCCTAAGGAGTTAATGAGGTTGTTTCATGAAGACCTTATGGGACTTCCCCCTATTCATTATGGTTAATGCTTTGTAATGGTTTCCTTTTGTTTTGGGTGGTTTTGAATTGGAGATGCAGTGCTTTGTATGCTCGGGTTCTGGGGCAAAGCAGGATAAATACTACCTTGTATGGTTTAACCCATATTTGCTATGACGGTATCATAGTCCTGCGCTGAAAGCTGAAACAACTAGATCAAAGCCTTTTGATTTGTTGCCATGGTCCCACCTTGAATTAAACGAAGTAAGGTTTTTAAAATTGAATTGGACAATAAATCGTTTAGGGGTCTGATTCCCAAGCTGAACAATCTGACCAGTCTTTTTAAACAAAAATATTAAAAATTAAAAACCATTAAATGGTTCGAACGATTCTTCTGCTCAGGTCAAAGCTTTGCCGATCAAATCAGATTTTTGGCCAAAAGAGGAACCAATCAAGTGATCAGTTTTAAAAACCATAAAATGAAATGACTTCTTGGTGGGGTCACTGTAGTACATTTAAGGCTATGATTTTCTGTTTTAGCCCTGCTCTATCCTCTACCTATTGCAAAATTTGGGATTAAAAAAACAGAAAGAATGAACTGTGACGTCACAACCTCTTCTGTTGGTAGTATACTATGACACTCTTTCTCACTTAACCTATGAAAGAGTGATCTCCACATAATAAATAGTAAGACCCAATTAATCTAGTGCATGCATCATGAGACCACAAAGGAATTTACCAAAGTAGAGCTCTCGTTACAAAATGAAATATGCCAGCGTTTGCAATTTAAGGCATTACATAAACTCATTTATTATTTCAAACCCTGCCATTAAAGCTCAAATACCCTATTACTTGGTATATATTTTTTATTTCAAACGCTGTGATTGGTGTATTCGCATTTCATTGGGTGGACAGATTTACTACTCACATTCTCTACTATTACCCTACTCACAGTACATTGCAGCCTCATATCTACAAGATGGCGAAGTATGAGTTTGTTTCATTGGGGTCGCGGGAAATGTTTTCTCCAACTAAGGTCACATACAGCCTCTCTCTCTCTCTCTCTCTCTCTCTCTACGTGCATTAACTGAAAATTGATTAAATAAACGACAATAATAATAATAATAATAATAATAATAATAATAATAACGGTTACAAGGTTAACTTGCTTGACGATTCAAACAACCTAAATTCATACTGGACACGTGATTAGCTGATACTGCTTTTCCTTAAGTTGCTCAGCAAGTCCAGTAGCTTTATTCACACTAACCATGTGGCTAAGTATGAGATCCGATGATGGCATTGTTTATAACCGGAATTTCTCTTCTTCCCCACCTCCTCTAATGAACGAAACCTATCTGCGTAGTTGCACCTGTAATCATGGCAAGCACTGCAACTATCTTAGTTTCATGGAGGCATGTGGTTGTTCTTTTTCTCCCCATGATTCTCATCCTGGGTTTAGCAGCAGAAGAGCCAGCAATATACCTAGTCTTAATGGAAGGAGACCCTGTTGCCTTCCACCAAGGTTCGTCACCTGATCACCTCCATGGAAAGAAACTGGACCCAGACAGGTAGAGGAACTGATGATGAAGACTTCATGTTTTCTTTTTGGGTCTAAAAGATTTCATCGTTTGTCAATAGAAAATCTCAGCAGCAAGTGTCATAGATAGATGCTAATATTGTTTTTATTTGTAACATAATTAAATTAGAACTGTTGAGATAGCGTCCCTGGTAGGTATTCACTTACTTCATGTATACTACGTACTTTGAATGTTTTTAGTGAAGCTTTCAAGGCTCATGCAAAGCACTTGGTAGATTCGCATGACCAACTTCTACAGGCCACTCTGGAGGTCGGGAGCTATAGAAAGCTTTACAGCTTCAAACATATTGTTAATGGCTTTGCTGTTCACACCAGTCCTTCTCAGGTCATTAATATTCTACGTACTCAGTTTTGATCACTGTTTAATTTGCTTTCTTTTGTTTTGTTTTGTTTTTATGGGTGTAAATCAAATGTCGTCCGATTTAGGATGAGAAGTAAAGCCGGCCAATCCACACGTCTGAAGTTCATCTTTTGATTTGGCTGCATCCTCATTTTTGACAAAATGGGTGTGGGCACATTCTCATTGGGAAAGCAAGATAGCGGTGAAATTTTATTAATGCACAAGAGTAGCCTTTCTCTTTTAAAACATGCGTTAAGTTATGTTTGGTTTGATAGAAAATGAGAGAAAAGAGAATTCCTCCTTATTAAATTCTCTTTCTTATTTTCCGTCAAATCAAACACCCCATTAGGGTTTTGCGTTGCCCCTTCCCCCATAAACCAATGTTTTAAAATTGACCCGGAGGATCAGGCCATGCCACATTAGTTTGCAGCCTGTGGCCTGGCCAGAATCATGATTGGGTGATGCATGGTTCAAATGATTGGACCGGCCAGGTCAACTGAAGTACCAAAACTATTACCATATTCTTTGTGTAAAATGTCAGGCTAAGAAGCTCAAAATGACTCCGGGAGTGAAGTTGGTGGAGAAGGATAGAGGTGCCCAATTGATGACAACTTACACTCCTGAGTTCCTTTCATTACCTGAACGAGTATGGACTCAAGAAGGAGGAGAGCGAAATGCCGGAGAAGGCATAGTTATTGGAGTTGTTGATACTGGCATCGACCCAACCCACCCCAGCTTCGCCTATGATCCCTTAAATCCATTCACCACGAAACCTTCTCGATTTAAGGGTGCTTGCGAGACGGGTCCTCATTTTCCTGAGAGTGCATGCAATGGTAAGATCATCTCAGCAAGGTACTTCTCAGCTGGAGCTCAAACAACCGCGCCTCTCAACGCTTCGATAGACTTCCTCTCACCCACGGATGCAGTTGGTCATGGGAGGTAAATTTTAACATGTTTTCAGAGAACTACATTCACTTATATACGTCTTAACTTGACTGAAACTATAGGCATGATCTGGTTTTATGATATTATTGCCATGATCTGAAGTTCTGAACTATGAACTCTGGGTCTGTGGCATTGAAGAGGAACAGTACTATCTGATTTGTCCCTGATGGCAGGAAATGGGCTGAAGGATCATAATAGTTCTAGCTTGTTTCAAATCAAATATGGTTAGGATTACTACTTAGCTTTAGGTCATGGTTCCCCCAACGGATTCTAAATCAATTACCCAAACGTAACTTAGTATTCTGCGTATAGAATACACAAGAGCTTCCATATATAGTCGCATGTTTTATGAGACACTAGTATCAATCAATCTACTGTTTCAGCCATGTTGCCTCGATTGCTGCCGGAAATTTTGGAGTCCCAGTAGTCGTGAATGGCTTCTTTTACGGCCGTGCCAGTGGAATGGCGCCACGAGCCAGGTATGACTATAACTGGGTTGTTTCTGAATATATCGAAGTTCTCAGGAACCAGTGTGAACAACAACTGATGGCGTACGTGGAATCATGTCTTTGTTCCATGTAAACAGAATTGCTGTATACAAGGCAATTTTTCCTAGCGTCGGAACTCTAGCAGACGTGGTTTGTGCAATTGATCAAGTAAGAACATTCTTTAATTAATTCTATAAATTATTCTTCGTTGGATGGTTAAAACTAATTGATCAAGACGTATGTGGATGTGAGCTTATTCATTGTGAATTTAATTTCATACGCACATGAACTACCGGCATCCAATTCATCAGTTATTTCAAAAGAAGGAAAGGGTGTAACTTGTAAGATCAGAAAACGGCATTTCTGTGGGACCTCTGAAAGTGTTTAGTGCTCTTATTATGGTGGCAATATGTATTACTACTGCAGGCAGTTCTAGATGGAGTGGATGTTTTAGTACTTTCAGTTGGACCAGATGACCCTCCTGAAGATACACTCACTTTCCTGAATGTATTCGACATTTTCATGTTATTCGCACGACGAGCTGGAGTTTTCGTGGTGCAAGCTGCAGGGAATAAGGGGCCGAGTCCATCCACCGTTGTGTCCTACAGTCCTTGGGCAATGGGTGTAGCTGCCTGCACCACTGACAGAAGTTTTCCTGGCACCCTTGTTCTAGGTGATGGTCGAAGGATCGGAGGCGTTGGGTTATCAGGTAAATGTTAGCTTTAGCTCGTATATATTTTTTAAAAGCGAAAGAGATCAATCACCTGAAACTTAAAACAGCTCTGAGCTCTCTTAATATTTGGATTTCCTCATATATTGAATTTGCTTGTCTGTTAATAATCAGGACCCTCTTTTGGAGGTGGGATTTTTCTATATAAGCTGGTCTTGGCAAAGGATGCAATGAAGGCAAATAGAACCTTCCCAATGACCCCAGAATATATTGAGGAGTGTCAGCATCCAGAGGCATTTGACCGGACGGTTGTGCAGGGCAGAATTGTTATCTGCACCTTCTCAGCAGGCTTCGCCAATGCAACGTCGACTATCACCGCCATCATTGACACTGCAAGGGTGCTAGGATTAGCGGGTTTTGTTTTTGTAGCCAACCCAGATTATGGAGATTTCGTTGCACAGCCCCTTCCCTTCTCTGTGCCGGGCATCGTCATCCCCAAAATAGCTGATACACAGGTATATATGCTTCTGTTAACATTACTGATCAGGTCTCAACTGTAGAGATATATATAGCTCACACATCACTCTTGCTGTACTTCTTTATGTTGCATTTTGATTGTCCTAGATCCTCCTGGACTACTACCAACGGACAACAAAGAGGGATCAGTGTGGACTTGTCACTGAATTTGGTGGAAACGCAGCCATTAGAGAGGGAAGAATTGCTTCTTACCAAGGGCGGGCACCCATTGTTAGCTTATTCTCATCAAGAGGACCTGACATCGTTGACAAAAGTGGGAACCTAACAGATGTACTCAAGCCTGATATTCTCGCCCCTGGAGATCTCGTATGGGCAGCTTGGAGCCCTGTCAGCGCCTTGGATCCCATTCTTACAGGTAAGGAAAGGACTAAAGACTAAGGAATTAAGGAGCTAGCTAACGATTCAGAATATCCTGCTATGTTAAGATGCAGAAGACATGGGTTTAAATGCAAAACTATATTATTTTAATTAGTGAGTTGCCTCGATTTGTTTGTACTTTGTAGGATACAATTTTGCGCTGTTGTCTGGGACTAGCATGTCAACTCCACATGTAGGGGGCATTGCAGCACTCATCAAGCAAAGCAATCCTTCATGGACACCGGATATGATTGCTTCCGCTATCTCCACTACTGCGTCCAAGAATGACAACCAAGGGAAACCCATCTTGGCACAAGGACCGGATATCAATGGATTATATCCCTCCACTCCTTTCGATTTTGGCCCAGGTCTCATCAACCCAGCGCGTGCACTGGATCCAGGCCTTGTCTTCCCATCAGGTAGCTAGCTTGTTCGTTCAATTATCAAGGTGAAGACGTGAAGTCTAAAACTCTCTCTCTCTCTCTCTCTCTATATATATATATATATAGGGTTGATCGCTCTGTGGTCAAAGGTTGGAAGACAAGGCTCACCGATGCAGTCGTGCTTTGAACCTAATGACACAGCAACCCAATTGAGATAATTCTAACTCTAGGAACAAGCATAAGAACCCATAAGATTTCTGTCATTCATGATTTGAACTGTTGTAGCTTCAGTTCTTTTGGGAGCCCTTGAGCTCACGTTTGGCATAAAGCAGGTTTTGAAGACTATATCGGTTTCTTATGCTCCTTGCCCAATATTGATCCTGCTACTGTCAAAGCTGCTACTGGAGTATCATGCAATCACTCACTTGCCAAGCCATCTGATCTCAATCTCCCCTCAATAACCATATCGGCATTGGTCAGATACCAGTCAGTGCAACGAAGTGTCAAGAATGTGGCAAGCAAGACAGAGACATACTTGTGCTCAGTGAGACCGCCGAAAGGGGTTCTGGTCCATATAAACCCACCTTTGTTCACCATAGCTCCACAGGGAACCCAAGATTTGGAAATCGGGATCAGTGTGGTCCAAGCCCTCAAAACTTTCAGCTTTGGCGAGATTGTTCTCACGGGAAATTTAGATCACATAGTGAGAATACCCTTATCAGTTTTTCCCGTTTCAACATCTTTGTAAATGAGAGGCTAATGCATGCAAAAAGGAAAAATAAAAAAACCACCTATACAATTTAATATTTAAAAGAGAAATAAAAAAGAAATCGCCCAATGCTAAACAATGTAAACATTCAACCATGACTCTCATTTTCCTTAAATAAGAAGTGGTTTTTCCTCCAAGTGCAGAGACAATGTTACTATTACGAAGCACAATTACGGCATGAATGTTGGAATGCAGACTAGCACTCACTGTTCAGCCAGCCAAAAACATCTCTGGGCAAAATCGAATCCTTGAATTACTGAACAGACTTGACTCAACCGAACAGGATCGCCATAACATAATCTAGCAACTAAATTCAACTTTTAACCTACTAAAGGCTTTCATGTGGATCATTAGACCTCCAACCAGTATTGAAGAACAGTATGTAACAGAGGTCAGTTGGTGCATAAATAGGAACACCGGGTGGTATTCTGTCTAACAAGTTTGTGTATTGCAAATGCAACTAAGGTTGGAATTCAATGATGGAAAGATTGGTGATCATATGGATCATCTGGAATTCAATGATGCCAATCAATCAACTTTAGCATATGACGTTTTTAGGATGAGGTGGCCATCTGTGATCTGTGTTGAGTTCGCACAAGTAATTGATGTGAGGTTAGATGCAAACACGAGTGAGTTGATATGGACGGTGAGACACAGAGGAGCAGAAATAAAAACCATGAAGTGAAGGAGACGCCCACCCAAAAAAAAAGTGGAGACAAATGTAATTTTTCCCTCCCAAGTCCAAATAGCATAATCAAGAAACTATTAAAAGTAACAGTATTGAAACATAAAGCACGATTACTGGAGGAGAAATTGAAAATTAGGGAGTGTAATTGAAACAATAAGTCACTGCTCATCAGTTGATACTTGACAACAACCTTCAATTTTTTTCAGCCCAATGTGGTTAAATAAAACAATATGAAGGACAATCTTGTCAAGTAGAACACAGTAACAAGAAGCAACTCCATCTTGTTTTGCCCTAATGGCAAACACTTGTAATCGTTTAGTCCTTGAAAGAAATGTATTTCCAGATATGCTCCTAAAAGAAATATTTTAGATTATCATACCCATCTGAACTTGCGAATATAATAATAATCATAGCCTTCTAAATTATATTCTCAATTATCTATTATGTTCAATTCTGACCAGCCAAATTAGCCAAATGTTTGAGTTCAGGGCTCAGGCCAGCTGTTTGAATAATGTCTCTGCCAACTTGTGCTTGTAAATGGTGAAGGGGCTATGAACTAGTGTTATTGAAAGGGAAGTGGAAGAGGGTAACTTCCTTCAATAAACAAGTCAAGTAACTTACCATTCTGGGCATAAGCAGCATAAAGTGCGCAAGCATTGGCTAGCAAACAAAAAGAAAAGCATAAAGGATCCAGCATCCATCACCAGCCAACAAGCAGAAGCTTCAAAAGAGCCATCCGGATGTAGAGACCATTCTTTGCTTGTCTGAAGTAGGCAGCTCTAGGATCCACATCAACACCCACTGTAATCTACATAATATCATGAAAATAATTTGATAAGCAAACCAAATAAGGCATTTAAGAATGATTGTGATTATGATTATAAATGGTATCAATACATCATATGTTTACCTCATCCAGCCTTGGGAGGGGGTGCATGACAATAGCATGCTTTTGCATCATACCCAACACATCCAGGTCCACAATATACTTCCCTCGAGCTTCTTCATACAGGTCAGTCCTCTCACCAAACCTTTCTCGCTGAATGCGAGTCTGATAGACTACATCACACTTTGATGCCACTTCCATCAAATCTGCACTTTCTTCCCATTCAACCCCCTTAGATGAGAGATAGTCTTTTATATCATCCTACAGGAAACAAGAAAACCATATTCCTGATTTTTCCAAAGTTTATCTTTATGACAAGAAGTATTTCAAGTTATGATATCAGTGATCCTGAGGTGGGAATCACCACCAAAAAAAAACACTTGGTTTACTGAAACTTTTTTTAGTACCTTCATCTTTACCACATCTGGTGAGACAAAGTAGATCTTAACACCTTGGTACTTGGCAAGCAGATATGCCAGTGAACGGACTGTCCTTCCATTAGCAAGATCTCCAACAAGACCAACTTTGATGCCATCCAGTTTGCCTATCTCTCTCTCAATTGTGTATACATCCAAAAGTGCCTGAACAGTGAATACTGAAGACTTGATCAGTGACTTTCATCAGTTTAGCATTTCAACCGAGTAACCAACAATGGGCTTATAGCATAAAAATTCCAAACTAAGAAATGAATCCAACCAAAAGATAAGAAAAATGAAAGAGTGATGAGGCCAAAAAAAGAAAGAAAAAATGAAAAAAAAAGAGAAGAAAAAAATGAAATATATCCTATATTGATGAAAGAACCCAAGTTTGGTAACAAAAGCATATTTACTCTTATATGTCAACACTCTTCTGACTGCATTTTTATGGTAGTCATTCTGCTTTTGTGGTTGGTTCCTGGTGGGTGCTGGCATGAAACAAGATCCAACAGTTGCTACTTTCAGTTCGGAGCAGGCGTGGTACTTTTTTTTATTGGAAACATAAAAACAATTTTTATTAAAACATAAACCCAATTAAATGACAGCAGGTGTGATACTTAAATGAACTTGACAACTTCTAACGACGCATTAAAGTCATAAGACCAATTGTGTTCAGTTTACGATAGAAATTCCTTCCACATGGATTCACTATTGTATGTTTCAGGGTGTTTTGGCTACTGATGCCAAGGAAATGCCACCAAATGAGCTCCATCACAATCATAAGTGGGACATTGCAACTCTTTCTCCAAAGAGTGGTCCCAATAGGCAAGAACCCTTGGTATAAAAGTTCAAATACGGAGAGTCGATGTAGGATTAGGAAGGTAATCTTGTTTCATGCACATCAAATTTACTGCCCTGACTTCTCTGCATAAGCTCCAAACCAAGATAAAATTGCAAGAGCACTACTTCCATATGCTTTAAGGAAAAAAAGTACACGAAATGAATAACAGATCAGTACCAATAAATGCAACTGTTGAGATGGATCAGAGGAAAAAATAGAAAGCATGAGATCAGAAATGAACTTGTTGAAAGGAACCTAGGAGTCTCCAATAGGTGATAAAATGAAGGAAAGTGGACTAAGAAAAGTGTTATATTACAAGTTGAAGGGGTTAGAAGAGCTAGGGGGCAAGCAAAAAAAGGACATGTGTTGAAGTAGTAAGAAATGATTTAAGGACCCATAATTTAACAATGGATATGGCACTAAACAGCACAGAATGGCAGAACAGGATCCATATAGGCAACAGTATATAGTTGGGGCAAGGCTTGGATAATGATGATCAATACCAATAAATATGAATTTTGGTATCATGGATATAAAATGTATGAAATGCAAAGTCAATGACTATAAAAGAAAGACCTCAGACTTGATGGTTCTTCACAAATGTTAATATGGTAAGCATCATGAAGAAGATGCCCATCACGATTTTATTTTTGAAGAGGTAAAGTATAGTATTTCATTGATCTATAAAAGAAAGACCCATGTACAATAAGGGACTGTAACTGTACAGTAGGAATGTGCTAAAATAGAAACAAAGAGTTAAGCATTTCTATGCATTCTGTTTACAAAAAGAGATTCTCCATCAAAAAAAAAAAGAGCTATAAGGTATTCCTTGAAAGAGTTTGAGGATTCCAAGCCATGAACATAGGATGCCCACAAGCCTGTTCTTTCTTTTTTTTTTTTTTTTTGGGAAAGTGGTAATAGTTTCAATAGATACAGTGAACGAAAAGGCTGTAAAGGGAGAGATTTTACAAGGGAGCATACAGATGCCAAAGGAAAATCATAATACAAAGAACAACATCAACCAGAAAAGGAGTCATCCCTCAAAATAGAACCCCAATGATCAGTGAAATGACTATACTTTAGTCCCCTAAACATCTTGTTGATCGAGGCCCACTTTAGAACAGTCCTCTCGACCTTGCCACAAAGCTTCTTGATGGACAGGGAGACATCTTCAAAGATTTGGTAATTTCTTTCCCTCCAGATGCACCAATAGATTGCAAAAAGCACCACATGTCAGGAGCTATCCCCCTTCTACTGAAAGCGTGTATTCTCCAAGTAGAGAACAGAGACTCCACATCAGGAGGTTTGACCCAGGACAACCCAAACAATTCCAAAGCATGAAACCACAAGACCTTTGAGCAAGTGCAGTTTACTAGGAGATGCAGGATATTCTCTTCATTTATGCCACACAAATAACATTTATTGACAAGGTACAGATCTTTCCTTCTTAAAATATCAATGGTGGGAATCTTTTGCTTCCAAATCCAAATCCAAAGCAGGGTTTCAGCACCCACAGCCAAAAGGGTATGTAGCATCAAATTGACTGAAAATTCCAGAATTAAAATGCGGCCACCAAATCTGATCTTCCACACCTGGTTGGGGATTAACTTGTTCAAGGGACTGTAAGAAGGCTGTCAAAGAATCAAGGCTCCAATCATCAAAATTTCTTCGAAGTCTTCGGTACCAAACAACCTGATTTGCAAGCTCTTCAAAACAGTCAACAGATTTGGGCATCCTTATCTTGAGCCAAAACAAAAAATGCCAGAAAAGAGAGGCAAAAAGGGTTATCTCCACACCACCTATCTTTCCAAAACAGTATTCCTTCACCAGAACCTGGTTTGAAGGAGAATAGGCTGAAAAAGGAATCTCTGTTTTGCATGGTTTCCTTCGACAGACCTGTGCTGTAAGGTTCAGTAGGGTGTCCAGATTCCCACACAAAAGCTAGTTCACCATATTTGCTTTTAAACTGCCGAAGTTCATCTCTTTCAGTAGCAAATCTCCAAATCCATTTGATCAGAAGAGCCATGTTAACCTGCATGAGTGGTCTAATGACTACACCACCTTGATGCCTAGGCTTGCAAATATCACCTGCCAACCTGTTCATTACTTCCTCTTCTGATTTGGATTGACCTTTGAAGACTCTATCGTTTCTGTCACTCCATAGAATCCAAATATTGCAGCCAGGCACATTTTCCATAATAATTTGCTCCTTTTACTTAGCCCTCCGAGGTACTATCATGAAATAATGGACCACCAAAAACAAGAATTACCAAAAGTAAAAAAGAAAAAAAAAAATTGTTTTAAGAGACAAAACTAGGTGACTGACAAAAGAGCCACTTGCAAGAGCCACACCATACAGTCATGTGGGATTTGCTGAAATCCATGTTATTTGCTTAAGACAAGGAAAACAAGACATGAGGAAGGTTTTAGGTTTCTAACAGTTAAGAATTTAGCATTTTGCTTATCAATTCAAAGCTTAGAAATAAACTCCTAAGCCTTCTCACTAAAAAATTGTTATGCCTATACTACATAGAAAATGATGCTCATAAATCACTATGTTTGCTATATGCTACAAGATTAGATTTTTCGGTTCAAGGCTGGCTAAGATGGATATACACAGTTAGCACCCCAAAATATCCAAAGAACTCTAGCAGATAAACTCCATTGGTCAACATATTAGCAATACCTGTGTTGGATGCTGTCCTGGACCATCTCCAGCATTAATAATAGGAATATTAGCTGTAGCCGCTGCTCTTCTGGCAGCACCACTTTCAAAGTGCCTCATCACAATAATATCCGAGTATCCTTCAACAGTTCTTATGGTATCTGCAGATCAAGATCCCAAATGAAAACCCCACAGCATTAAAACCATTCCCAACTTCCCCCAACAATGTAAAATGTAAATAAATAAATAAACAAGTTAAAGAAAAAAATAAATAAATACAAGAATGCACCAGTACCTTCTAGGGTCTCTCCTTTTGCTGCAGATGAAAACTCACGTGCATTTTCTGTTGTCAAAACTTCTCCACCCAACCTTTTCATGGCAGACTCAAAGGAAAGCCTAGTTCTTGTGGAAGGCTCATAAAACAGGGTAGCCATTAGATAACCCTTTAAAATTTGGCTACCAGGGGAGTTCTTCTCAATTTTCTCCATCTCGCGTGCCACTTCAAATATGGCACTCAGAGTATCTCTATCGAACTGCTGAGCCTCTATCACATCATCAAGTTGAAACTTCTCTCCTACAGAAAATGGAGATGATTTCTGAACCTCCAGCTCCAAGGCATGACATCGGCCTTTGCTTCTTTGTGAGGTTCTTCCAGTATTTTGCTCAATGGAAAGGAACCCGCTTGAGCGAGTTGACACTGAAATTGACTGAGAAAGAAGTGATCGTTTAGATATCAGTCTTGAAGAGGAGTACCTACACTCCTGCTGGCATTGGTTTGCAGAAACAGCCGCTGCTCTTCGAACAAATACACTGTCATTGAGGGAACAAGTAGAGATTGAAGACGAAGAGACCATTGCAACGGAAAGAAGCAGCTAAATACTCCTGGGTGTTCTTCCAGAGCCTCTAGAAAATAATACAGAGTTCAACCTTAGACAGATTGTACTAATTAGGAATAGTGGTTCCAACTTCCGAATGATCAACCACCATTTCAACATACTGAATCAACCCAATTTAATCATCAAAGAGACTGGTAATTTCTATAACACTAAAAATCAGTAACTACAGAAGGAACTGGTTATCCTTAAACCAAATGAACAAATAAATGAAGAATACATGAAACAAGGTGCCGTGAATCAAAAGAATCTGATCAAAATAAATTGACAGGATAATATCACAAAAAAAAAACAGCAAACAAAAACTAAAATATGTATAATCTCTGCCAGGCCTGTTGTGAAAAGTTCTAACAAGAAGAGTCGAAGAAGAAAAGTATTCAAGCGTCATCGGCCAATCTGTAACCTAAAACAAAGCCTGAAGCTCATCTCCTTCGAGATTCAACCCGTCAAATAGAGAAGAAAGAGAAAAAAAAAGGAAAATAAGAGGGGAAGAAAAAGAAAATAGGACCCAAGTGTTTGTAGTGAGGCTTGAATAACAAAATCAAACTAAGAACAGAAGGACGGTAGGGAGAAAACCCAGAATACGATACCTCTGCAAGATGAGAACGAGCTCGGATTAATGTCTATACGACTATACCCTATTGCTGCGAACAGATACAGGATTGAACTTGCAAAGATGGAACCTTCGAACAAATAATGCGAGAAAAAAAAAGTAAATAAATAAAAATGAATAAAAGCCTAAAACCTCGGGAAAAGGAAAAGAAAGGGATTTTGGAGGAAAAATCTGTGTGTTCTTTCGTTTACCAGTTGCCACTCGTCTCAAGTTGGTATTGCGCGTGCATGGGAATAAAGTAGAGTCGTCACCTCACCCTCACCGAGTGTAAATTGGGCCGGATTATATCGGGTCGAGAGAAACGCTAACTACGGGTGCAAGTCGGGCGAATTGGGCCGGGTTTTAGCTAGGGGTGAGCATAATTCGATAAAATCGAAAAATCGAACCGAAATTTCGATTTCGATTTAAATGGTTCAGCCTAATTGGTTTTTCAGTTGGGTTCGGGTTTTGTTATTCGATTTTTGTATATTTCGGGTTTTATTTTGGTTATCATATATGCTAAATCGATTAACCAAAAAAATCGATTTAATTTTATAATTATATATTCTTAATATTATTTATATTATAAGTTATAATTTTATATTAATATTTAATAAATTAATTAATTAATAAATATACTTATATACAATTATACATCGAAGATCGAACACGAAACATCCATAACCACAATAAGCAATAACGTTGACATAAAAGTTTGACTAATTTTGTATTAGACACGAAAAGTCAAAAACAAGAAAAATCTTCGTCTTCCACGGTCCGCTTCGGCACTTCCAGTTCTAGACTCTAAAGCAGACCAAAGACCAGACTCTAGAGTCGAGAGTCCTCCCAGTCTCAGCCCCAAGCATTCTACACTCAGGCAAACTTTCGACTGTCGTAGACCCAGACTCAGTTCTGTTGTGCTCTTTCAGTCTTCCTTCCTCAATCTCTTCTCTGAATTCTCTCGACTGCTGACTGCTATGTCGTGCTGCCATCGTTCTTCTTCGGTTCTTCTTCTTCTTCACTACCAGTTATAGGCCTAACAGGTTTACAACAGCCAACAGATAACTAATAAACTAATTTCTTCTTCTTCTTCTTCTTCTTCTTCTTCTTCTTCTTCTTCTTCTTTTGATAGAACACAGAATGACTGAGACCGACTAACAGAAAACTTGCTCCAGGCTCCAGGTTCTACTACCGACTGACTGAGACCGACTGCCAGTTGTCACTACATCAATGCATCTTCCTCTAACTCCAGGCTTGAGGCTCCAGGCTCATTCACCACTTCACGTTTTCACGTCCGGTTACAGGTAACTAATTAACTTCTTCTTATCAAAATCTTTTAAATATTTAGATTTTATATCGTATATGGTTTTTGTATTCTTTATTGAAACAAAAAAGAAGAGATAAAGTTCATTAAAATTTTAAAAATAATGGAAATGAAATGAAACCTCAGAATCTCATCAAAGTTCAAAACTTCGGTTCATGAAAACATTTTCAAAAAATGCTTAAGCCAAATGCTTTGTCATGGCCCTAACCATCATCTCAGTGAACACACAACACAAATTTATAGTGAATAATTCATTAGGAAAAAGCTATTCCATGGTTAGCAAACTCAAATAGTACATGGAAATTGACATTTTAAAGAAAATTTCCCAAATTGCATATTTTTCAAAAATATGGAAAAAGACAAACAAACCAGGGAAAAATAAATAAAGAAATATCAAATAATTCAGATTTTCAAAGATGCAGAACAAAAAAAAAATTGAGGATCTTTAATTTTATATATAACTAAAATTAAAAATATTTATATTTAACAAATGCATATCTTTAATGTATTATACTATACATATAAAGTATCCTGAATTTCTTACTTCAAGCTTTTTAAATAAGAACGTATTAATAAATGTAATGTATATATTTTTTGGTAATCAACAAAAATGTATATGTAGACAATCTTTTACCATAATATGTTTATTTGACCAAACTATTAGACATATCCCTTTTACTCTTGGTTCCCCAATTGTAAACAAAAATTTTGCAGACATGTATTTACTACCTATGGGCTATCATTGAAATTATAAAACTTATTAGCTAACTGATAATGCATTACAAATTAGAAATGCCAATTAAATCTATTTTTTTATAAGTAATAAATTGATTTATTAAGAATGATTAATATGAGCCAACAAATATGTTACTGAACTAACTAGAAAGCGAAATACCCTATTTGTAACACATATCCAAAGAATCAAACAATATCAATATATCCTATCACCCAAACAATCCGAAATTCACATAAACATAGGAATTGGAGATTTGGTTTATTTCCCCATGAATTATTTCCTTACTTTCACATATCATCACTCTCTATTGCTTTCCTCTACTTTCTGCACCTTTTCACAAGAAAATAAAATAAAAGAGATCAAAGAGAGTGGAAAAAAAAACTTCAAATTTTGTTACATTTTTAAATTTATCTTTTCTATTTCTGCCACTGTGTGGTTGTAACCTGCATAATTCTCACTTATTAATTCATTCAAACTATTTGCCCCTTGAGGAAGGTACACAATAGAAACTCACTCTTCTCAGATACTCATTAATTCATTCAAATTATGATTGTATTTTTTTAATTTCTATAAATTGTTGTTTTTATCTTGATAGGGATTTGGACTTAGATTCTTAGAGTATTTATTTAGTGTGCTATATTTTTTTAGCAACGACATCATCTACCTTATCGTGTAATGTAAGTTTGCTCTTACCTGGTTCTCTTTTTGTTTCTTAAGCGAATTATGATTGTAGATGTTCAAGTATTTTATTCCATTCGTTTGTTAATTTTAACATATATCTTATCCTTTGTGAATTGTGATTTTAGATGTCACAACAAACTGGAGACACTCCTATCAATATTACTGAAGTTGGAAGTCCACACCCCCGGCCCCGGCCTTCCAACCAAATGGATTTGATGAATGTAGTTGCTAAAGGAAAAAGAAAAGTGATGAAGCCAAGGTCAGAAGTATGGGACCACTTTTCAAAATTTATCTCATATAACGGTGAAGTAAAGGGTAAGTGCAACTACTGTGATAGAGAATTTTGTTGTGACCCTAAGAAAAATGGGACAGGCTCATTAAGGAACAACATGAACATATGTAAGAAAAGGCCCTATAACTTAGAGGCAAAACTGTCATAGTTAAATATGCAATCAACCTCAAGGGAGGGGGAGGGTGGAAACACTAAGAAGATGAGTTCCCTTAGTTGTTGGAAGTTTGACCAAGATGTTATGGGCCCGGGCGTAGGATCTCGTCACGGGTCGGTCCACGGGGAGAAAGCCCTGCTTTCCCTTGCGTGCCCCTTGCGTGTAGAACCTATTGTGGAAAACCGAATGGGTGATTTGTCCAAGAGACCAGCCGAACTCTCCTAATGGGTGATTTGTCCAAGAGACCACCCGAACTCTCCTTACTCTTCTCTTGACTAGGAAAACTGAATGCCTTTATTTCAATTCGTAGCTCCTTAAATAGGAGATTACAGAAGGAAATTCCTAATTAAACTCAAACTCCTAATTACATATTCCTAATGGTAACACAACTCTTACTTAAGATAAGATAAAGATAAGGATACGATAAGATAAGGGATGAGGGATAAGGAATGGTGTAGCTGGTGGCGAGTTGGCGAGCATAGCTGATGTGGTAAGATAAGTGTGGCCCCACCCTGATGAGCTGTCATGTGGGCCTCGCCCTGCTGCTGCTACCGGGTGGCGCGCGCGTCTCGCGATGCTGCTGCTACCGGGCGGCGCACGCGTCTCGCGATGCTGCTGTCGTGCGGTGCGTGCTGGTGCCGTGAGGTGCGTGCTGCTGTCGTGTGGTGCGTGTTGCTGCCATGCGGTGCGTGTTGCGCGCTGCTGGGCGGTGCGTGCTGCGTGCGGCCAGGCGGTGCGTGCAGCATGCTGTCGGGCGGTACGTGTTGCGCGCTGCCAGGCGGTGCGTGCTGTGTGCTGCCAGGCGGCGCGTGATGCGCGCTGTCAGGCGGCGTGTGCTGCTGCCCATGACTATGCCGTAGTGCGCTGCCGGTTGGTGTGTCCATAACATCACACCCCTCTTGGACCACGAGCTTGTCCTCAAGCTCGAATTCCGGATACGTGGCTTGGAACTCCACCAATGGATTAAATGGTTGTACACTATCCCTCAGTCCACCAACAGCATGAACAACAGGGACTACCCCGTAGCTCAGTGCATAAAGCCGGTTCAGTCCACAAGGCTCGAATCGAGAAGGCTTGAGTAGGATGTCTGCTTCCACAGTTATTCGATGGGCCATTTGCACAGAGGAACCAACCCAACCCCTGATTTTGTCATGGTGTTGACTCTCAAGATGTTTGAGAAGCTGTTCCCGATCAAGTCTCTCAGTGCCCAACATGACTAGTTGCACATCTTAGTCCACCATCCAAGGAATGGACTCAGCAACGAGATCAACACCTTTCTGATGGTCAGGCCTGCCAATGAACCCAATCAGAGGAACATTCTCCCGAAGAGGAAGACCAAGCTCCCAGGTGTAACCATGGCTTACAGTGACTACACGATCTGCTGCTCTCAGGCCCGCTATAAGGACATTGAAGTGTTCCCCACCTCCTGGGTCATATAGTTTGAAGTAGTTTTGTGGGAGATCCACGTAACAAAAATCGCATACTGGACCACGACCCCGGTGTGCTATGTTGTGGATCACAAGAATGCACCGGGTATGCTTACAGAAGAGAACCTCAAGAGCGGCCTCCATATCCTGTTCCTTGGTCTTCCGCACATTTACCATACCGTGGTGCCACGACCATAACTCTATGTCCACGTCGAGCCAAAGCCTTCGGTAAAGCCCCAGCAACATCGCCAAGCCCACCTATCTTCGACCAAGGAGCGCATTCTGCAGGTACCAATATAATGTTCGTGACATTGTCCTCGGCCAAAGGAGGAGACTTTACAGTTTCATCCTCCGTGCGTTGATCCTTGGGAATAACTGCGGCTGTAGGGGCAGCGATCTGCTGTTCACTGGATGCCTCTGCCCAGTTTGGACGGCGACTGTTTGTGTTGGCGATTCCCTTATAACTCCCTTCTTTGTTGGAGAGGAATGCTTCCAGCAGGCGTCGCATCTCCCGAACATCTTCCCTGACTTCACGACCTCCATGCTGGTTTCTGCTAGCTTATGTTCCAGTTTGTTGACCTTGAATGATAGCTGCTCCATATCGCCCGTGACATTTGGCTCTGATACCAAATGTTATGGGCCCGTGCGTAGGATTTCATCACGGGTCGGTCCACAGGGAGAAAGCCCTGCTTTCCCTTGCGTGCCCCTTGCGTGTAGAACCTATTGTGGAAAACCGAATGGGTGATTTGTCCAAGAGACCACCCGAACTC